TTCATTTATTATTTTATTATTATTTTGTAATTGTTTTAAACATTTTAAAATTTTTTGTTAATTTTTTGTATTATTTTATTATATTTTATTATATTTATATTTTATCATAACTGTTTAATATGATAATATTTTATTTGTATGAAATTATCAAAAATATTAAAATATTTAAAATCTTTTTTTATTGAAATTTTTGATACTACTTTGAAATAATTTTAAAAATTCATCAACACGTAGATAAAAAATTCTCTTCCCTTTATTTCTGAAATAGTTTAATATTTTTATATAATGGATTTACATATACTTCCAAAAATTGCCTTAAGCAACTTTTGCTAACAGCGCTTATTATTTCTGAACCCATTGCGCTGTCTTACCATACCAGGTAAATTTTGCTAGGAATTTACTTAGCGATATAAGTACAAAATGAGTCGAAAGCAACATCCAAATTCTTGAAAGGCCAATTTATTCCTATTTGAGGTAGAAGTCCCGGTATCGACGCTTCGAAATAAAAGCAATAATCCGATACATTGGGCCGTATTTCTTTTTCTACGTTTATCAGTGGCATTTTTTTTATCCTAATAAAATTCTTTAGTATTTTAACGAACTATTTTACACCACAGTGTATTTTAACGAACTATCATTTAATAAAAAAATAAAAGAATCATTCATTTATTATCACTAATCATTTATTATCAAGCTGATTTTCAGGGTAATGTAATACTAAAGTTACCTGATAAGCCAACTACTTCATTTATGAATTATACGAAAAAAAAAAGATTATATATTTACATCGAAGTGATTCAAATATTTTTATTTAACTAAAAATTTTCAAGTTAAATTTGGATGAATTATTAATCATTTAATTAATTTTTAGTTATCCAATATATTAGAAGTTGCTAGCGAGAAAATTTTGGCTAAAATTTGATATTGATAAAATATTATTTTTATCAATCAAAAGATCTATGGATTTGCCACTGGTGAAAGATATAGATGTTTTCTTTACATCACATTACTATTATTTATAATTACTAACATTGTTATATTTCAAACCATTGTAGATATTCTGAATGCTTTATTGAATTAGTAGAAGGGAAATAACTTTACTATTAAGACATTTTAAAATTTAAAAAAATTCTAAGCAAAAAGTTTAATTTAGTTTAATTAAATTTAATTAAATTTACTTGATAAAATTTTGTAATTTATAAAGTAAATTATAAAATTATTAACAAATTATAAAGTTAATGATTTTAAATAAAATTGAGTAAATAAAAAATTGGTTTATTATGAATAAAATTCATCTATAATGTTAATTTATATTCGATATAGAAAAAAGATTTTTCCACCAAAGCCGAACAATGAAAAACAAATTTTCCAAAAAATTATCATTTTGAAATTTTTTTAAGTTTTTTAATTTAGAATAATCTATTAATATGCTAAACAGTCAATTCACTTATGATGTGACGAAGTTATTCATCCAAACATTTTGAAAAACATCGGATTCTTTTACTTTTCACATGAAAAACCATTTTTCATTTTGCTGGAGCAAATGAATTTAAATAAAATTAACTGGCGGAGAATAACACCATTGAGATTTAGTTTTCGTTGTTATTCCACAATATTTTTTATTCACGTTTCAAATATTGAAGATTAAAATTTCCAAAATCTCATTATTTTCAATAAAAAAGACAACAATTGTTTTTTTTTCTCACAGCCTTCATAAAATTTAACTCATTTAACCCCTCCCCTCTCTTTTTAATTTAAAGAAATTTTAATTTAATTTTAATTAATTTATAATTTCTATTTAATTTCTATCTAATTTCTATATCAGCAAAAATAATCGCCTTATTTGGATTAGTAGAGTCTATTCTATTCTTTCCACTGAGATCAATAAGAAGGAAACATTACAATTGGGATAAAATAAAAAAAAACATGTAAATTATTGTCCAAAAATTGGTAAAGGATCCTTCTCACTCATTCATTCTTATCCTTTAATTTTAACAATGTAATTGATTTTTTTTGCTCCACATTTATGAAATTCATTATATTACCTTAGCCAATTTATTTTCTTCTTGTAATCCTTGAGCTGTGGACAGACAGAAATCATTCAATAAGGTTTATAATAGTATGAAGGAATTCAAATTGATTGTAAGGTACGAAAAAAAATGAGGTTTCAGGTAAGCTCAAGAGAATATAACGATTTTTGTAGAATTTAGAGATTTAGCGGAATCTTCTGATAACATTTAGAAGCATTGATATTTGGTAGAGTGTAGGAGAAAAATGCTGGGGGAAGTAATAAAGTCTGAGTTTTAAAGAAGTTAAAATATTTATAACGAAACGTAATATGCCTTGAGGGATTTCAAAGGATTTGAGATTTTCTTATAAGCGAAGAAATTAAGTTATGTAAAAGGATATTTTGGAAAAGCTGCTTAGCCTGAAATTCCCACTTTTATTCCTATTCCTAATTCCTATTTTTTCCAAACCTTTTGCAAAATCATTTTTATTTCAGATTTCCATGCATGTTTTGGCCTTGAATAACTTTTTTATAGGGATAATTTTGAGCTGTCACCATTCTTATTTCAGTATTCTTTGCTAAAGGCCTGATTAGTAGTGCTGGCCCAAGAAAAAAAGTGTTCGAATTGCATAATTGTATCCTTTGCTAGGAATAGAATTGTATGTTTTTTGCCAGCTCAGCTTTTATCTTAAGCAAATATCCGACACCTATGAAAAACCCCTTCATGATGACTTAGTATAAAATTTGCATGTCTTAGCACGTAAATCTGTGGTTCTTATAGCGAATTAAATATAAATTACTAAATTTAATTTTTACCCCCCGGGAAAATTTATTTAATGTGGCACCGAAGGAAAAAGAAAAAAACACATCCCAGTAACTTACATAGTGGTGATTTTGGGATATCCATGCAAATAATATACTTTTTTATGGTTGGTTCAACACTTTCCTAACTGATTTATTTTTTTTTAAATCCTTTGTAACCAAAGGTAACCTATATTGGTATTTGTGGTATTTTTTTAACGTATATGAACGATAATATCTTCCATTGTTCTTATTTTAGCACCATCCTCTTATCATTTTCGATTTCTATTTAGTCTATTTGTTTCTATTTATTTTGGCCCCATTTGTCGTCATTAACACTGGTACATAGTTTTATATCACTAACACTGATTGGTTTACATAAACCAATTTCATGGACATACGCGAAGCTTGCTATTAGATGAAACACCTAAAATAACGTCGAAAATGAGCAAATTTTCCTCGTGATTTTTGGAAAATTTTTCTAAAGAATAACATTGGGATCGTAAATAATTTAAAACTCTACTTCAATATTTATATTTACTCTAATATTTGCTCTTATTTTATAGTTTATAATCACTAATTCAGTTGCCAGAAAAAGGATTGGACCCACATTCACGATCTATAAATATGGTCTGAATATTTGGTTAAACCAACTTCTTCTTTTTCTTCTTCTAATAGCTTTCATCATTACTGGTTAGGCTGGCTTCAACTGTTACAAGGGTAAGATGCTTCCAAGCGGCGCGGTCTGATGCCATCGTTGACAGTAATGGAAGCCATTCCTTTTTCCATCGTCTATGTCCATATATTGCTGGTCCAACAATACGTTCAAAACAATACGTTTTCTCACCGTATCAGTCAGGTCTTGGTTGGCTTGCTTCTCGCTTTTGACGTCAACAATCATACGGTTTAGCAAATAACGAAATATGCGTCAACTCCTGTGGTGGATGACGGAGAATGTGCTATAGCCAGCGAAGACGGCGCTCTGTGATAAAATTATTTATACAAGTGGTATTTGAACGAAGATAGAGGCGATCTTGTGATATTTTATCCGCTCGACGCGTAATGTGTACCTTAGACAAGAGTGGCCAAAGGCAGATAACTTCTTAATATCCTCCACTCTCATTGGTCATGCCTCAGAACCATATAGTAAGATCGAACGGATCACAGCAATATAGATGCGGACTTTAGTTTTTATGGTGATTTCACGACGATTCCATAAAGGTTCCGTCATCAACGCGCCAATTTGAATCCAGCGTAACTTCTATTGCAATCTATTTAGCACAAGGAAGGCGAAATTTTTATCAGAGATTAAATTTTTTAGTAGGCTAATTCTTCAATAATTGTCACAATATTTCCTATCATCCCTCTCAGAGATGGGAAGCAGGATTGCTTTCCAGATTGTTTAGCCATCTGGTATTAGTGCCTTTCTCTGCAGCAATGAATAAATCCTTTGAATGTGAAAGACGCTGGTTAAATCTTTTATTTTCGACATAATTTTGTTATAATAAATCGTAATTTTTTTCAATTATTTAATTTATTCAATTCAAATTTTTATGATTGAGAAATCATATTTATTCCACGATGAAATTAAAGAAATTTCAGGGAAATTCTTGATTATCTTTTATCAGTGTTTTCCTATTTTTAATATTAGTAAAAATTTTTATTGATATCACTGTTATATGAAGTTGCTTTTCTCTTATAAAATTTATATAGTACATATTGTAAAATATCAATAAAAAATAATATCCATGCACTTTTAAACAAAAGTTTGAATTTTCCATTTAAGATAAAAATTATAAATCAAACTAAATTATGAATTATGTTCAAATAAAAATTCAAATTTCACTGACAATTTATTGGAAAAAAAAGCAAATACAACGGAAAATTATTTATTTGCATAATTTCTTTTCTCAATAATCCTCAATAAAATACGTGAAATAAATTTATTTGCATATTTCTTCCAATTCACGAAATATATAATTATTTAAATATATAACTTTTTCTATTTGAAATAGATATGAATGTTCATTGAATAAGAAAATAACAAAAGTTTCTATGATGATAATTAAATAAAAAAATTAATTAAAAAAATAAAAATGAAAATTGTTATATTAATATGAAAAAAAGTAACAAAATTAATAAGTGACGATAATCACATAGAAGGGAAACGAAGAATGTGAATGAAAAAATTTTAATGCATTTCTAAAGTAGTATTTCCATCTTTCGTAGATATTTTTACGATTGAACCATTCGATGGCCTTGATGATTTATTTACTGTCCAATCATATAGTAAATCGGCTATATATATTAAAGGTGTCCATCTGAAATATAATATTTTAATGATCACTTGCCTCAATTATCTTATCGAGAGACATGGTGATATAGTTTCATGCAGTTTCTATACTATAGGCATTTAACATTTCAATTCTTCTTGTTTGAGTGAATTTATCATTAAAATAAAAATCGCTGAGGGTTCAAATAAAAAAGAAATAAAAATCCACAACTTTATCGCCAAGTTATTATGCAGCTATTGTAGTGATTTACCTTCGCAAATAATGATACCAGCAAATCAAAAATATTACGCGTTATCACAAGAATACCTTAACAGTATCCATTCATCATACTAAACAAATAAATAGAGAAAAATTATCGAATACGCTAACGCTTTAAAATCTGCTTTAGGCATCCATTTGCGATTCATTGGTGTGTCGAGTATAACTGGCGATATCGCCAACGCAGATGAATCCTTTGGCATTCCAGAATTGTCAACAGAAAGGCTCTTTACCAGTTGATGCACAGCAGATTTTGCCATACCATAGCCAATCATTCCAGGCGTTCCTTGCAATGCCTAAATTATGACAATGATAATTTAAGGACTTTTACTAGGAAATACTGATGATAAACTTTTTAGCACCTTCAAAAATTCAAATATACGTTAAAAAATTCTACAGCTTCTTAAAGCAATTTTAAATAATGAAATTTAAATCAATATTGACAAATAAAAAAGAAATAAAAATAAGATCGATGCAATAAATAAAAATTCCTTAAAATATTGCTGAATAGAAAAGATGTGTGAAACAGCAAAACAACAAAAGAGCATTATAAAAAAATATAAAAGAAACCGCAGCAGCTCCAGTTAACTGCAAAAGACCACCATCGTTCAAATATTTTGATGCTAAACGTGCTGATATTACTGAACTCCAAACACTTTGCTTATACATAATCTCAGCATTTTTTACCATATCTTTATCAGCAGCATTACCACCAAGCCAGCCACCAGCAACACAAAATATCGCGTCTAATTCTTTTTCACCGATTATTTTCGACATTCTAAATAATCATTTGCAATAAATTTCATATAAACGCGAAGTAAAAACCGCAAATAAAAACAAAAATAATCACTGTAATTAACAAAATAATCAAATAATAAAACAGAATTTAAAAAAAGAAAATTTATTTTTCAAAAAAAAATGAAAATTGAAAAGAAAAAAAAACGAACTGATCGAAAACGAAATTTTCTTGTTGCAACCATGAATCGTTTTTATTTACAACAATATTATTATCAGCTAAATTGTTTTCTAACAAATCCACATTTAAAGTCCACTAAAAAAAAAATCCATAAAATTAAGACTAAATTCCTTCATTTTCTTCCATTCAAATCAAGTTTTTGCGCTAGTTTTCTAAATATTTAAATATTTATGATTATTTTAATATTTATGGTATAAATGGAAAAATGACTGCCATTGAGAATCGAGAACGGTAGAGGTTCAAGTGTGGCCGACGCCGACTCTTCGTTGGGGGGCAATGTCGCCGAAATGAAAAATGAGGTAAAATAACTTCATGGGTTGTTGTTCAATTTGGAACGATGCTGACGTTCTATATCCGATACTTCAAAAATCCGGATAATGCTGGAGACTTGCATTCGTACGTGCATTTATATCGATGAAGTTAGCTTATCGGACCACAAATATATAACTTTGCAAGGGAATCATCCGGCTTCCTTATAAAAAAAATATGAAAAAATTCGAAAAATTTTAAATTAATTAATATAAAAATATATTTTAAATATGAAAAAAGTTGAACTAACGAAATTTTTATTTTTAAAATATGAAAGAATCACTGAACCAAGCGCACCATTACCACCATAAATTAATACTCGACCATTTGACATAATTCTAAATTAACTGATGATTTGCTTTTTTTCAGTAACGTAACTATTAAATGAAGAGAAAAAAGAAAATGCAAAATTACGACAAATAAATTGAATTAAAAACTTTTGTCAATGAGATGAGTCAAACTGATAAGGAAGCAATTATTATCACCAAAAAATTCTATGGTATATTCAATCGATTAGTTGGCATTCAGGATAAGGAAAATTCCCGAGATTTCTTGCTGTCCATCAAAAGAATGGCCAAGCATATTGACCAGTAAATTTCACCAGTAACCACTAATATCCACGATTTTTTCAATCCTTTCTCTTCTATTAACACAATAAAAAAAAAAAAAAACATTTTCGCATTTTGCCAGCCAGCTTCATCAACGATTAATGAAAAAAGAAAATTTATTTCGCCCATAAAAATTTTCCAGTGGTACGCACTGGGAAATTGATTTCAGTACAAATATAGCTATGTAGGTAGCTTAACCGCGATAACCGCGATTATTTCACCCTTAATAACTAATAGGTTTACGCGGTTTACGCGAGCCAGGAGACGAGGAATTGCTTATCCACGCAATACGAAAAAATATTCTCTCGCCCCGCCCATCTTTTTTCCAATAACAATCCTTTTCACTACAAAACATTTTTAAAATATTCTAAAAATAAAAAATCAAAAATAGAGCGATAAGAAAACATGAAATGTGTAATATTAATAGAAAAATAAAAAAAAACAAAATGCCAATAATGGCGTTCAATCCGCGGAACCCGTAGAAATCCCCGCTATGTTTTCACCGCCAAATGACCCCCCGTAGCGGAGTCTTTTATGGAAATCCGAGAATCCAACGAAACGAGCCTTACTAGAAGTGTTGAATAAATTATGCGAAAAAAAAGCGAAAAAAAGCCGAACCAAAATATATTTACGGCTCTGCCAATAAAAAACGCGGCCACGACCGCTTGAATGTGAATTTTTCAAGTGTGAAGAATTCTTTCCCAATTTTATCATTTGCTCGTGGCTTCTCTCATGATTCTCATAACATTCAATATTTAATATAGCAAATTGGTTTTAATATTTATAATATTTAATATTTAATATTTATTATATTAAGTGAATAATATTTATACTAATAATATAATAATAATTATATAATATAAATATTAATAATAATTATAAACAGTAATATTTATATATTTATTATAAACTTAATAAAAAGTTTTAAGCTCTTAACATATTATTGTTAACGATCCGCGTAATGAATAGTCTTCCAGACTATTTAACGGATGAAAAAGACGAATTTCAGTGATTAAGATGCATGGAAGACAGCAGAAATATCAGCAATGAATGATTGATGGAAGTGTTTGGGGTAACCGACTGTATCGCTTAAGTTCCACGAGAATCGCGATTTCCATCTCTTTTTGTGAATGATCAGAAAAAATAAGCCTTAAAGGCACCGTTAAATAAAAACTTTGTTTAAGATTGCTTTTGAGATAAATGAGGAAAACATTGAGATAATTGATATTGATGTGAGTGAACAACAACCGAATATAACATTTATAATAAATTACAAATTCGATAAAATATTGATAATAAGGAATATGGTGGTGATTCCAAGAATTGTCGCATATTTCGTTACTTGCTAAACCGTGTGATGGATGGCGTCAAAAGCGAGCTGGGTCAGTCTAGACCACCTGGACTGATACGGTGAGAAAAGATTTCGAATATATAGATGGACCAGCAATATATGGACTTTGACGATGGCATCAGACCGCGTCGTTTGGAAGCGTTTTACCGTTATAGCCGTTGGAGCCAGCCTAACCAGTAATGGTGAGAACCGTTAGAAGAAGAAGATAATGGTGGTGATTCAGGCGTACGGTAATTCGATCAAGAGCGAGCACTCTCTGTTCCACTCAGTTCCGATCGAATCATTAAGGGAGAAATTCGGATGAATAGGCGGTCCATCTCTGTATTTATCCTCAACTGACTCCAACTAGCGAAAGAATCTCATCCTAAGTGATCCTAATGAGTTGGACGATCAAGTGGTGGAAACAAGGCCTCAGGTGAGCCTCAGGTGATGCAGTTTTGCTCCACTTTTCAATTGATGAAACAATAACAATTTTATTATTTTTTATTCATTTTTAATGCTTCGACTTTTTATTTTATTTTATTGTGCGATCGATTTATTATTTTTAGGCGTTAAAAATTTAAAGTCCATTTTCCTTTTGGTTTGGTGCTAATATATTTTATATAATAGAAATTTTATAAAATTTTTCTCAAATAAAACCAATCACTTTATGAATTATTATTTATTATTATTATTATTAATTATTATTGTATTATTTATTATAAATATCCTAAAATATTAATGTGTATAATATTGTTACTAAAAATAGTTTTTAATTGTAAAATTTACGGCATTTTAAGGCAAAAGTAAATATTTAAATAAAATAAAATAAACATTTTTTTTTTGAAATTTTTGTTTGATTAATCATTATGAGAATTATTTCAACGCATTCGATCTTCGAGTAATTTTCAGAAACGCATAATTTCGCAAGTAAGCATACTGGCAAACCGTTTGGTTCACCGACATGACTTCTCGTCGTTTTCGATAAATTTTTTATTCGCTATTTACGGAAAATTGTGATCTGAAATTCTGCGATTCGCCGCTCTCTGCTAAGCTCACTCGAGTGGCTTATCAGATACCGTGCAAATCGTGTCAGAGGGGAATCACTTCGCGATAATCATCAAACGGATTTTCGAAAAAGAAAGCTTCATTTTGAGTCTCCACTAATCGTGGCTCTCTACTCGCGAAGCATTTTGCATTTATTTTATATACTTGAAATATTCTATGACAATGAAAGTTTATTGTGTTGGTACTTGTTTGGCTATAATTAATTTTCTTCTTTTTTTTTGCATGTTTTCGAATTGGGTGTCATCGTGCAAATCTGTTAATTTCGTTTCCACTAAGGCACATTTCTGAA